GGCGGAAAAAAAAAAAAAGAGAATGCAGCCATGTGCATTTGAGGAAGGGGTATGTTTTGCAAAATGCACTATTAGGCAGTTTTGTCTTTGTGCCAGTCCTCACAGAAGGTTTTTCTACAAATGGAAAGGGAATAGCCTACTCTACACCTCAGCTATATGGTACAGCTTACTGCTCCTAAGGTATACACTCGTCCCTCACTGTATCACTGTTCACTTATTGTGGCTTTACTGTATCATGGGTGTTTTTGTTTTTCTTTTGTCTTTTTGAGATAGGGTCTTACTATGCAGTTCAGGCTGGCCTTGACTTTGTAGCCCAGGCTGGTCTGGAACTCTCAATGATCCTCCTGCCCCAGCCTCCCACAGTGCTGGGATTACAGGTGCGTGCCACCACACCCAGCTTCACTGTATCTCGGGTTTTTAAAAAAATATACCTAATTCTGTATCACAGAGTTTTCACTATATCACGGGATGCTGCAGTATATAGGTAATTACATAATATTTATGATTTTAATTATTTTTGCCTAAAAAATGTAAAATATTAAAGATATTTAAAATGTTAATTCAAACATATTAAAAGAATATAAATTGAAATAAAATACAGTATGTATTTCATCAGCGCATGAATACCTTCTGTACACAATGGAAATGAAGTAATCCAGTACCACTTGTGCAAGTTTGCCAGTGTGAGATTGTACACAGTGCTGTGTTCCATACCCGGGGCGCTGACTGGCTCAATGACCATAGCACCGGTCTGCTACGGTCAGCTCTCCCGCACTGTGCCTGTACATTCAGCATCTCTCCTTGTCCACTTCACATCAACATCTGATAGCTGCACACAATGTCGCTCTGCGGTATTGTGGTTTTGTGAGATTTTCGTAAAAGTTTGAATTTATTTCGAGCCCTACGATGCCACTCAAACATTCCACTCATGCTAAGGCTTCTGACAGTGAACCCAAGCACCAGAGGAAGATGCTTGTCATCAAAGTAAAGGTGGAACTTCTCAACACGTTAAAAGAAGGCAAAAGCTACACAGCTGTAGGCTGCCATGACAGGACCAATGAATCTACTGTTCACTACATAAAGATGAGAAGAATATTAGATCTACAACAACAGTAACTTTTAGCAAGACTGCAAAGAGGGTGTTTGTAAGAATGTGGGAAAGATTAATGAGTGGGAAAGGTTTATAGGAGTGTGGGAAGGGTTTATAAAGCCTTAAAATATATATATAAATAATAAAATACATATAACACCGCTACTTTGCAGATTTTCACCTATCGCAGGGGTCTCTGGAGCATAACTCCCATGATACGTGAGGAATCACTGTAAACCTGTACAGCATGTTACTGAACTGAATACTGTAGGCAATTACAATACACACCTAAACATAGAAAAGGTATAATAAAAATACAGTGTAAAAGGTAAAAATGGTGCACCTGTACAGGGTACTACCCATGAATGGAATTTGCAGGAGTAAAAATCACTGAATGCATCAGTAAGTGTTAACTGAACGTGAAGGCCTAGGACATTTCTTTAAACTACAATAGACTTTCAACACTTTATACACAGGCCACACAAAATTTATAATAAAAAAAAATTTCCTTCAATAAATTAATCTTAGCTTACTGTGCCATCTTTACTTCATAAACTTAATTTTCAGGGCTTCAGACATGCAAGGCAAGCACTCTACCACTGAGCTACACTGCCAACACACTAAAAGTTTTTTTAAAAACTTTCTGACTCTTGTGTAGTAACATGGAGCTTAAAACACAAAGATTGTGTTATTTTTGTTTTGTTTTTTTCCGGTACCGAGAATTGAACTCACAACCTCGCGCTTGTCAGGCAGGCTCTGTGCTGCTGAGCTAAATTAAAAAAATAAAAAATAAAAAATATAAATAAAAAGACCGTTTGTGGTTTATAAACACAATGACTGGGCTTTCACAGTTTTGTGAGATGTGCTTCCCTGAAGCATTCCTATAACAGCAGCACATAATTCATCTGCCATGAAAAAAAGAAAATACAAACATATTGTACAGCTGTACAAAAATACTTTATGTTCTTATTCTAGCTTTTCTATTTTTATGATTTTTCACTTTAAGGTTTTTTTAAACCTTTTTGTCAAAAACCAGGACACAAACACATAAATCTATGCCAACACAGGGTCAGCATCATCAGTATCTCTCTCTTCCCTGGCTATATCTTGTCCCAAGGAATGGTCTTCATGGGCAATAAGGCAGATGGTGCTGTCATCTTCAAAGATAACAATGCATTCCTCTGGAATGTCTCTAGAGACACCAGCCTAAGGCTGTTCAATTTTTTATATACCAGTAGAAGGTACATAAATTAATTGAACTAATGTACTGAACTAGTAATATAAAATGATAGTACAGTAAGTACATAACATGGTAACTGATTATTATCAAGTACTATACCTAACTGTATGTGCTCTATTTTATACAAGTGGCAGCACAGGTTTGTTTCTTGCAGCAGCATTTCAAACATACATGTTGCACCATGACATGACAATGGCTATTACATCATTAGGCAGTATTTCAAGTACATTAAAATCTCATGGGACCCCTGCTGTATATGTCTGCTGCTACTGACCAAAATGTTAAGCAATGTGTGTCTGTACTCTTCACTGGCAGGACAAAGCATCCAGAAAATGAGGTAGAAGCCGGTGTCCCTTAAAGCTCCTATGCATCCACAGGAGCATACAGTGACTACAAAACCTAACTCCTTTCTTGGCTTCTGTCTTCTTCTGTATCTCATGCAAGTAGACTATTGGCGAATTTTAACATAGAACCATAAGGGATGGACTGGAGAAGACAAATCACAATGTTACCCACATTAACACACTCTAGGAAAGCCATGTCTAACTATAGGTTATACTGTACTATCATGGGTCTCTGTTTAATGTAAGGTCTATTTTACAAACCACAGAAATAAGGAATGACCAAAACAAGAGCAAAAGATGAAAAGCATAATTGAAGCAACAGGATACATTAAGATAAAGTCTGTATACTCAGAAATTTATAAAACTATTAACAAAGATAACCGAACAAGACTTTTCTGCTCTCTGCAAAAAAAAAAAAAGCTTCTTGCAATCAGAAAGAATGAATGTACAGCCTGGCCATGGTAGTGCACTCCTATAGTCCCCAGCACTCAGGAGGCTGAAGCAGGAGAACTGCTGCAAACTGAAGACTAGCCTGAACCACACAGTGAGACCTTGTCTCAAAAAACCCCACCCAAAAAATGAATCTGTATAATTCATAAGGAATATCTATTATCTACCACAAAAAGCAAGTAGGAATACTCCAACGATTTCCAAATTGTCATTGTCCCATGGTCCCTTACTCAAAGGAGAATTTTTTTTTTTGTCTTTTTGAGATAGGGTCTCACTATGCATTTCAGGCTGGCCTTGAACTCACAACGATCCTCCTTCCTCAGCCTCCCAAGTGCTGGGATTACAGGTGTGTGCCACCACACCCAGCTCAAAGAACAATTTTAAAACCATATAAAAAATGATGAATTTCATATCAGAGATACACTTAGGTTCACCCATGAATCCAACAGACTTCAAAAAGGAAAGAGAGCCAGACATGGTGATGCACACCTGTAATCCCAGCACTCAGGAGGCTGAGGCAGGAGGATCATTGCAAGTTCAAGACCAGCCTGTGCTACAAAGTGTGCTCAAGGCCAGCCTGGACTGCACAGCGAGACCCTCTCTTAAAAAGATAAAAAAAAAAAAAAAAATAGGGAAGAGAAAATTGTACCAATTGATTTAATGAAAAAGCACTACTTATTAAACATGTGTACTACTGCTTAACCAGGGCTCACAGAGTTATCTCACCTCAATGTTCATCTGCCAAAATAATAAATAGAAATCTGTAATTCAAGGATACACTTTAAAGATGAGCAACTGATAAAATATTTGTAAGTTTTCTAACATTTCTTTCATGGTGTGAATTTCCCATATTATCTACATTTACAAGATTTCTCTCCAGTGGGAGTCTTCATGTGAGTCTGAAGTTTCACATGATATCACCTGACTATAAGATAAAATGGAAACTTTTCTATTATTTTTTGCTTTTATAGTTTCCACATACGTGCCTTCTCCCTTGTTTTGCAGGGATGTGGACCACTGAAGACTTTCCCACACTGCTTATACTCAGTAAGATGCTTTCCAGTGTGAGCCTGTTTAAGGAAACTAGAGGCTTTTATACATTCTTTACATGGTAGGATTTTTCTCCATGTGCATTCTCAATGCATCCTCAAAAAGACAATCAGTGAAGACTTCCCCATGGTGCTTATGGTCACAGGACTTCTCTCTATTCTGAGTTCTTTCTGTATTTTTCCAGTATTCTGTATTCTTCCAATTCTTCCAGTATTCATACCTGGAGAAGTGAAAGTTTCCAGTATGCTTTATTTTTTTATGTTGTTGCACTGTGAGGGAATCAAACCCAGGACCGTAAGCACACTGGGCAAAGTCTCTACCACTGAGCTACACTTGCAGTCCCTCCCACATTTTATCTCCCTAGGGTTTCTCAGTAGCAAGAGTCCTTTCATATCCTCAAAGAGCAATAGGACAGCTGAAAGCTTTGTGTGTTGTTTATATTTAAAGGGCTACTGTCCACTGTGAGTCTTTACATGTATTCGAAAGGAACGGGAACACTTGAATGCTTTACCACATTGCTGACATTCATAGGGTTTCTCTCCAGTGTGAGTTCTTTCATGGATGCGAAAGGAACGGGAGCAACTGAAGGCTTTATGACATTGCTGACATTCATAGGGTTTCACTCCAGTGTGAGTCCTTTCATGCATTCGAACAGAACTGGAGCAGCTAAAGGCCTTCCCACACTGCTTACATTCATAGGGCTTCTCTCCAGTGTGAGTCCTTTCATGGATCCGAATGGAACTGGAACAGCTGAAGGCTTTCCCACACTG